CAGCTTTGGGAGTGATTCTGATCGGGAAAGCTGTGTGTGTGAGTGCGGAAGGACTAACTCTCCCCATTCCCAATGTTGCTGACCCAAGCACTATCACGACTTGCTTAACCCATTTCAAAAACATGTGTGTGTGGTGGCGGGAGGGAGAGTTGAAAGGAGAATTGGACACAGATCTCACTTGTCATGCCTGCCAGTGTGGCTTGGGCAAGAGGTTCGCTTGGGGGATGAATTATAAATTCCTAGGTCAGCATCAAATTTTTAGGCACTCGCACTCCCAGGTACCCCTTGATATGATCACTGGAAAGCAATGCTTCAGGAAGAAGTGTGAAGATGTGTGATGCTCTCAGCAGTCGTCAGAGCAATTTTCTCAATTTCCCAGACAAGGCATACTGACTACATGGGCACAATAGAAGGAAGCCGGGCCATGCAACAGATCAACACTCTTGATGCTCTGAAATGAACCTGTTCCTTCATGGCCAACTGTTTATACGACTTTGCCAGAATGTATTAAACTTGCTTCTAAAGCTACTAGGTAAGAGTTCCCCAGCTTTTGAGGGGCCTTGGACACATTTGGAATTTTGAAAGTGTGTCATGGGCACTGTCACAAAAAGGGGATTCACACATTCATAAGATGGCCACAAAGGTAGTCATGGCCAGCCATAAATTACTCAAAAACCACAATGTGGTATAATGGTTAGCATGGTGTACTAGAACTCAGGACATCTGAGTTCTAATCCCCGTAAGTCCATGAAGTACACTGGGTGACCTTGGACAGTCACTGACCCTTAGCATAGCCTACCTCACAGGGTTCTTTTGAGGATAAAATAGAGAAGAGAAACTTTATGTAAGCTGCTTTGGGTTCCTTGCAAGAGAAAAAAAAGCAGGATAAAAATATAATAAATAATTAAATAACAACATTCCCCAGCAAGCTGGTGTGACCAGAAAAAAAGAAAAAGAGGGGAATAAAGAGTATCTTGTGCAAGCATCTAACTACAAGGCTGAGGTAGGAGCTGCCATTCCATTTTTGAGCACAATTCCATGTGCCAGTTTTAACCTATGAAGTTCTGCATGGCTTGGAGCAAGATATCCAAAAGACTGTTTCTCTAACACGAACTTTCCAGCTGTTAATATCAGTCTCAGAGACCTTCTCCATGTCCCCCTTTCAACTAAGTAGTACTGTTCTGAATATGCTCCACCATCTGGAAGGCCTCCATTCCCTGTGAAGGCAGAGATGGACTTAGGAGACTCCCTGGGAGGGGATGAAAGTCACTTCAAGATGAAGCCTCAACAGATGTGCGTTGTTTAAAAAAAATCCTTCAAAGTGAATCATGGAAGTGACACATCTTTATTTATTTATTTAAAACATTTTTATGCCGCCCCCATCTCAACAAAGCCTCGGGGCGGCTCACAACAAGAACAAAATATACAAATATAACAAATTATACAATAAAAATATTAAAACCCAGTGCATCTCAGCTTAAAAGATTTAAAATCCTATAAATACCAATAAATTAACAATTAAAATAAGTTTTAAATAAAAAGGTCTCCGCCTGGTGCCGTCGTTATTTGTTTTTCGGTGCCAGGCGAAGACC